AATATGTTTAAAATTAACTGTCACGTCTCTGGGAGTGATAGATCTTGATTATCTCACCAAATTAATTGCTCTCTGCAATATATTCATGTCCAGAGCAACACCATTACCCCACAATACGTGAGTTATGCTCGTATGTGTTCAGGCATGTTAAAAATGCATTACCAATAACTAACTATTCGTTTTCTATCACATTTTCCCAAACCCCAAAGATGACTATTCCTTTTTAAAACACATTGTGGATCAATATTTCTTATTTTGTTTGTCTGAATTATGCTACCATGTTTTAAAAATGTGTATTGTATTTACTAATTACCTGACCATAGCTTTGAGATTAAAATGACTTCAAATTATTTTATACACATTCTAGCTGTAAAAGCTGTTAGTGCTAGCGCTGACACAGATAATGTATGTAGGGATGTAGGGTGCAAATTATCACGTGTGTTTAAGGGCAATATCAGTGTAGTCAACTGTTATGTAAGCTGAGTGACCTTTCTGTTTTTATTTAATTGCTAATTATCCTCCTCAGTGCTAATGAATTTCCATAATAATCTATGCACGTGCTGTAATGTGGAAGATATAAATTAACACAGAACAAGGTGTGATTTTATCTCCATTCGGCCTATAAAACAATAGATGCTGGAAAGTCAACTATTAATCAGACATAATGTTTACATATATGGCCCTGCATTTCATGTATTCAAAGGATTCTAATTTCTGGTTAGTGTTCATTTGCAGTCACATAGCAGCTATTTCTATGCTGTACGGCGGAGGTGTTAAAGGGTCAGTACTGATTATAATATTTTTTTACACTATGCTAATCTATGGTTAATACATTTAGAGAAAATATGTTTTATGTCCTAGTGCTATGCAAATGTCACAAGGAATGTTTTTTTTTTGTCTCAGTTTTGGAAGGTAATACACTTGGTTGCACAAGAAGACTTGCAATGCATTTTATTATGTTAGGGCCCCTTTAAAATAACATGAGATGCCAAAATATTGTATACACACCTATCATTTATGCAAAAGTAGTAGACAAAGTTTGTAGACAGATCCCTCATATCCTATGACATCTGTGTGTATTTTCTCACACCATGTACTTAGAGAAACACTCTGGTTCTATGTGGCATTTTAACTGTGAATGTCATAATACTGTTAGATTTTACTGAAATAAAATTCACGTATTTGTGTTCAGAGATGTCTCACAAATATAACAGTAATCTCCATGTAAAGGTTTTATGGGGTTTTGGAAAGTTACATGGTCAAATATAGAGCATTCCTCTTTTCAGTTTATACACATTGAAATTTAACCAGATTGGTTTGCTGGGCCTATGTTGCGGTTGAAAACGTATGGCAGACCATACGCAACATAGGCCCATTTGCAAAAAGATGTGGTATGTCCAGTCTTTTTTAGTAGCCACTTAGTCACAAACCCTAAGTTAAAGGAACACTATAGTGCCAAAAACACAAACTTGTTTTCCAGGCACTATAAAGTTATTAGAACCCCCTCCTTCAGGGCCCCCCTCCCGCTGGGCTGAAGGGGTAAAAAAAACCTCCAGCCACTTACCTTAATTCAGTGCTGGGCTCCCTTGGCTCTGGTGACCCCTCCTCCCCCTGCTTCGATTGCGCATGCGCAGCCAGAGCCGTGCTCACATTCAAACTGCCCATAGGAAAGCATTACTCAATGCTTTCCTATGGACGTCAGTGTGTCCTCAATGCGACTTTCGTATTGAGGATTGTGGAAGCGGCCTCTAGTGGCTGTCAGGGAGACAGCTGTGACTAGCGACTGGATTAACCCTCTGAAACTGCTGTGTTTACAGCTTCAGGGTTGAAATGAAAGGGACCTGGCACCCAGACCACTTAATTGAGCTGAAGTGGTCTGGGTGCCTATAGTGGTCCTTTAAGGTTCATATATGCTTTTTGCATTTTTTACCCCCCAAAACAATGCCCTTTCACCAAAGATATCATTGTCATTATACATTGTACTGCTTAAAAACACTCATTTGATGAAGTCAGGTAGCCAATCCGGTCAGATCTGGCGAGCAGTGTGAGTATATGTGCTTTAGAAAGGGCCCAATGATTAGGGAGTGCTATGCTAACTTAACGACCTTAAAGCCCTTCTTTTGTAGGATGGCATAGCATGCCCTAACGTTAGGAAAGGGTTAAGAAAGCACTTTGCAAGCTTCAGTCACTACTGCAATAACTTCTCAAAATAGCATGATGGAATACTTTACAAGCAGCCTTTACTTCATGGGCATGAAGTAAGAATTCTTAAAGTATTCAATGCAAATATTTAAAAGAATAATGCAAGTTAGCAATGTGATAATATGTTCTATTTGTCAAAAGGAATTACCTAATAATGGTTAATCAAAGTATTTCTGATGCTTCTGAATTACATTTCCCATGATGCTTAGCCAGTTAAGTGATTTAGAATCATATGGGTTAGCAATCACTGGTTAACCCATCATATCATTAACTCCTTCCATACTTACTATCTATATTTTATACTATAAGCAGCTATTAATTTAGCCTTGAAATAGCATGCAAAATGAAGTCTAAAATATCTTACTTACCTTTCAGTGGCATTTTTGGGAACCTGCATTCCTAAAAAATATCAATATATTTCTTATAGTTTATAGTATGCAGAAGCAAAGTTTTGAAATAGTTTTAGCAACACATGCCCATTCTTTAGCTAGGTCCTTGCGTAAATAATAAAATATAAAGGGATATTTTATTCGCTCCAAAAAAAAACCATTTGTCACCATAATAATTTACTAAAGCATGAATGTATAAATTAAAATTAAAATGTATGTAATTTTAATAATTTGCATTTGTAACTATTTCTAAATAACAAAGTATATACAAACCAGTTTTTTGTCCCTGATCTGTGAAGATCTCGCTATTTATCCCTGATTTTAAATAACTGGTAAATGCTTTATTAATTTAAAAAAAACCTTGAGTAGTAAAAGGGTTAACCTAGTAAAGGGATAGTATATCTGAATTATAGATGAAACATGTTTTAGTAGATAGAGACTTCCCCACTATGAGGATCTATATGGCTATTGAAACTATAGTATGCTTTTACTATGAAGCCGTTTCCTCTGCTTTTATTGTCATTTTGGGTATAGTGTAGCATATGGCCATTAATGAATGTTGTGCTGAATAAGGATGCATCTGTTGACTCTCAATATTCTTTTCTTTTATTATGGAGGACTAAGAAATATTTTAAAAGAGATGCATAGTCGTAACCAGGAGATAAGGGTGGGTGCTTTAACAGTGAGAAAATAACAACAGAAATCTGGTTTGTAATAAAAAAACACATATACAAATATGGTTAATGCCCCGTGGAATAAAATGTTTTGAAAATAATCATAAAACAAAATATGCTCTGACAAATGGTCACAATCCAAAGAGTCCTTATACATCTAAATGCAGATTTTTGGTGCAATTCTAAAAATGCAGATGTAAGTTTTTCTAATATAACTTAGAAGACTCTTGGATGTACTGAGAATTAGAGATGAGTAAAACTTTGAGAGTTTATCCATGAAACAGTGGGAAGCAGTGATCTGAAACAAATGCTACAAAATATACATGGAACTAGCTTTGTTAAAAAAAAAAAAAAAAAATCCTCAGCTCACTCAATCTCATTACAAGTGTCTGTGTCGGCATATTCCCCAGTCAATTGTAAAAAATACACTTTGTACCACATGATCACTTTAATATACTAGCCATTATCACTATATACTCATTTGTAAATAGGCTTGATAAAAAGTGGTTGACACACATATTTAAAGCCAACAGGGGATCACTAGCACTATAATTAGATACCAAATTGTTTGACATTTTGGGTGACATAGGAATTAATTAAGACATTTAAAGAAGTGGAGAATAACTTTGGATGTTAAATTCAACTAGTGCCACCAGGCTGGGTGAGTTACCAGGGGACTATCTGGTAAAGGTGCAAGCAAGTCTAAAAAAAAGTCAATATGCCAGACTGATTGACAGCTATTCTGTCTTGGCTCACGTTGGGTGCCCATGCACAGAGCACTCTTGATGCACCTCTCCATTGACTAAGTGCTCTGGTAATACTCTGCATGTAAATGTTTATATTGATGCGCTCACTCTTTGCTATTAGGGGACAACAAACCCAGGTTGGTCAGGCAGGCTGATACATTTGAGATGGTCTCACTGGATAGATCACAGATTACTAAAATCAAGCAAAATCAACAACATAAAAAGCACAGAAGGTTCAGGATCTTTGACGATCCAGTCCATGTATCATCAGAGAAGTGGAGTATTACCACTGGATCTGAACAGTCATGGTTAGGTTTATGGAGATTGGTTGGAATTAAGTAGTTTTAATAAATGCTACATTGGGTTGTTTTGTATGTAACCTACTTTTTTTTAAAAATAAAAGTTATTTTACTACAACTAATTTGTTCCACATCCAATCCCTCTCCCATTTTTTTCTGTTTATAAATCTTTCAAAATATTTTATGTTTTTGTGTTAGCTTTTTAAGTTATTAAATATTTTTAGATAAACTTTTAAAAAGTCTTTTAGGGGGGCGTGTCCTGAGCGCTTATCTCTCCATGGGGGTTTCACAAAACGAGCATTAGCTGCAGTAGAGCCTGAAAATTTTCCTCTCAAATCTACATACCTGAGCACCCGAGAAGATGTCACAATGAATGGTGAAAAAACAAAGCTCAAACAGACCTCACTGCAAATCGCGGCTTTACCACCCGCACGGCGGGGCGAGCAAGATGGCGCCGTTAGGCCTGAATCCTCGGCCTCTATTTCTGACGGCAGCGATATAACCTCGGTCTCCACTAAAGCTTATGTCACTGATATGTTTACAGCCCTAATACCGGGCCTCTCAACCTGAGTTTTACACCTCGACAAGATTCATACATTGCCTCAACCTAAACACCTACCTGTCACCACCTCATGAGATGTAATCACTAGGATCCATCACTTTACTACCTTTACTACTAAGGATCAAATAATGCGAGCAACAAGAATGACACCAGCTCTCCCAGAACACTTTACCAACATCCAAATATACGTAAATCTTTCCCAGACCACGCTTGCTAACAGAAAGGCATTCGCCACAGTTATCAGAGCCCTGCGCAACATCAACATTATTTTCAAGTGGGGATATCCTAACAAACTTATAGTCCAGAGGAATGGCACGGAACACAGCATATCAACACCTGAGGATGTGGAAAAGTATCTGAAAGAATGGAGGTTAGAAGCTGAAAACCAAATGAAGACACCTAACAGACGTGAACCAGCAACTTCACCAAAGAAACTAAACCCGGATTGGAAGACTACAGCAACAGTGAGTGACTCTAAAGGGGAAAACCCTCTACTGGCATAGAGGCCTTTGCAATTTATTTTCAGTAGCGATTTATTTTTACGTGCAGTTTATTTTCGCTATTATGAGTTTATTATGAGTTTATGTGGTCCCAGTTGTCTAAGGGCTACACATTGGTTTCACTTGCTGCCAAGTTTGGATTTATTTAGATGTTTATTTAATTGTCACTGACTCCCCTCATGCACACCCCTCCTTAGGAGTTCATATGTTCCCACACCACAGCGAAGGGGGCAGCCGTCCGTCAGGAGTTTTTTTTCTCCCCTTTTCCCCACATACCAGAGGTAAAGCTCTTGCTAGAGATCTAAAGTGCAATGATCTGATGTATAACAGTGAGTCCCACATACTGCCAGGGACACTTGTATTCTATGGTAAACACTCACTTTCCTCACTAATAAACCAGGCAGAACACAGGGTGCTAACTATCGGTAACGGAAAGGGCCTTGCCTTCCTCAGCAAACATACACCCACTAGAAATTACTACACATAGAAATTCTAGAAATTATCACTGAATACCACCATGCCACTTACATTTATTTCCCATAACCCCAAAGGGTTAAACACTCACAATAAAAGGAGACTTGCCCTACAAGAAGCTAAGCTGGCTAATGCTCAAATAGCGTTTTATCAAGAAATCCATTTCCAAAGAGGCCATATGCCAAAATTCTCCTCCAGTCAATTCCCCATAGGCTACCATTCACCAAATACAAAATCTTGGCCCTGACCCTGGGAGACTGTTATGTAAAGAGACACAAATTTTCTATTAGACCCAGATATTGACTCATCAAATGACTCTACAATACGTCAGACACGCAAAACAAGACAGGTCTCCACACACAAGCTGCGAACCGTCCTTAAACAATATGGTTTTCTAGATGCATGGAAAATTTTACACTCGACTGAAAAGGACTTCACATTCTATTCCTCATCACATAATTCCTACTCTAGCATTGACCGCTTCCTCCTCCCCAGCACCCTGCTTCAAAAAGTCCACACCACACAGATCAGCACCATGTCATGGTCGGATCACGCACTCATCACATTGTCTATTACAGACAGATTTCCCAACAAGGGCATGGCACCTGAACAAATCGATATTAAATGATCCAGAAGTAGTTTCCCAGTTCCAAATGGAGCTGAAAGCATATTTTCAGATTAACACTACGGACGAGTCAAGCGTAGAAATGGTATGGCAGGCCCTTGAGGCAGTCCTCAGATGGCTCTTTATTTGATACTCCAGCTATAAAAAGAAGCAGTGTATGCAAGAATATACAGATATTATGCAAACGTTGGCAGAACTCACCCACTTCAATATGGGGCACCCCTCACTAGATAAACAAAGGGACATTTAAATCCTCCAAAATAAGCTCACACATTTAGAATTAAAAAAACTACATACATTCTCAATAAACATAACTACAAATTTTTCTTGAATGGTAATAGAGCGGGCAAGGTATTAACATCACAACGCAAAGCCCGTACTGCCTCCACTAGGATTGCCCACATTCAGACGAATGATAACTGCAAACTTCTAGACCCCCAACAAATAGTTGACAAATTCGCCAACTATTACAGTTCCCTCTACAATCTACACAATGACTCAGCTACATCGACCCCGACTTCTGACAGTGTTAATCCTTTTCTGGAAGGGATTCATTTACCACTCCTGACACCTGAGGATACTGCAACACTGTCGCAATCATTCACGGCAGCCGAGATCTCGCAAGTAATCCGACTACTAACGAAAAACAAATCTGCATGCCCCGATGGGTTTCCCAGTCTCTACTACCAAACTTTCCTAGCCATGCTGACACCACATATCATGGACCTCTTTAACACCTGCTACCACAAGGGAGCAATGCCAACAGCTATGCACCAAGCCCACATTTCCACACTGCCCAAACCAGGAAAGCCACCAACAGCATGCCCCAACTTTAGACCAATATCTTTACTGAATTCTGACAACAAATTATACTCTAAATTTATCGCTAACAGACTGACTAATATTATACCTATGCTGATTCATACTGACCAAGCTGGGTTTGTCAAAGATAGACAAGGATCGGACAACAACAGAAAAATTCAGAACATTCTCGCACATATGTCCTTAACCAAAATCAGGGGCCTTCTCATGGCACTGGGTGCAGAGAAGGCCTTCAACCAGCTCAACTGAAGGTATATGGAAACCGTTCTACAACAGTTTGGGTTCCCACAGGAGTTCATCCAGGGAATTATGACCTTATATAATGGCCCATCAGCTCAGGTTCTAAATACAGGATTTCTTTCTAAACCATTTCAGCTTATTAATGGAACCAGACAAGGGTGCCCCCCTGTTCCCCTTGTTTTTTATTTTGTCACTGGAGCCCTTAGCGCATAAAATACAGAATCACCCTCACATTGAAGGGATCCCCAATGATGGATCTACTTACTCATGCGACAACAAGAAACTGTATTTTTCATATTCATACCAAAGATAAGTTCTCCACTTAAAGCAAGCTAAAACCATCCTCAATTTTTTATATGCATTTTATGCAGATTTCTGACTTACGCCTTGATAATTGAGTACGCTGAATTATTGAAGAAATGCAAGAGAAGCAAAAAGCCTAGCATTTATATGTGGATGAAGCCAACAAAGTCTCTCAATGTTTGCAGATGAGATATTACTAACGGATAAATAAAAGTAGGATAGTGGAGTCCTACATGTACTAGGAGATGATTTGTGAAACTGTTGAATGCAATCACTCTGATAGTGATAGAACCATTACACCACGGGTCAGTACCCTATAGGGCAATACCTGTTTTAGTTCCAATTTTTCCACTCTAATAGGCCAGATCAATCTGTCCATTTCCACAGACATTTTACTAATGTTGCACAACCCATCTGAAACTTTACCTTATGTATTATCCTTATTGGACGAGCATGGGATAGTTTCTTACTATCGACTTAACAGACACAAAACTCAGGCAATGACAGTCGGACTCCCAAAAGGGATCGGTGTCACACTAAAGGCAACCTGCCCATTTGACGGGAGAGATACCACTATAACTTACTTGGGTGTGAAATTGGCAGCCCACATGCAGAAAATGGTGAAGCTTCACTATGCACCTATTAGGCAAGTCAGCACTCGCATTTCCCAGCAATGGAAAAATGTTAAACTGTCCTGGCTGGGCAGACTAAACACCATTAAGATGTTTTTCTTACCCAAAATACTGTATGTATTTTGTATGTTTGCTCTGCCAATACCACCAGCTTTTTGTAAACAGTTACAAGCCATCCTAGCCAAGTTTGTATGGGGTAGGCTGAAACCCCATCTCCCACTTTCCCTCCTGCAATGAACGACACATAATAGAGGACTAGGATTTCCTAAGGTCCTAGCCTACTATAGAGCCTGCCAAATGGAGGCGGCAATAAAACCTTACTCACCCCCAAATAGATTTCAATGGGTAGATATGGAAAATAGGGCAACATCTAATAAATCAATCCCAGACATCCTCTGGACCCCGAAACCATATAGACCTATAATTGTACTATACTACCAACTTAGCAATACACACAAGGGATAACTTTCTATCCTCTACGCAACAAGAGAGAACCCAAGCCTCCATCTCAGCACTAGCATTGCTTTTCCCATGGTTATCGTTACAACAGTGGAAGGTTAACGGGGTGTCTCAAATATTGGTGACCTCTGTGCAGGTTTGGATATCATACCCTTTCCAGAGCTACAATGCTCCCACAACTTACCCAACTCATTTAGTTTTCCTCCAAACTAAAAGCATCATGACAGACAAAGTGCACTTCCCCTCTGCAGATACACAACAACAATATCTGTCTTTACATACATTCTATGATAGATGTCATAAAAATCCAGGCAAGCCAAAGGCCCTCTCTCTATGCTATAAGCTTCTGATGGAAATTATACCTGTAACACCCCAACATATAGAGAACAGTGGAAAAAGGAAGGGTTGCAGGTTCCGTCTGATGCCCATTGGCTTCGGTCACTGAGGGCGCTCAAGGGGCTAACATCATGTTATTCCCGAATAGAGGCGCATAAAAAGTTGGTATACAGATGGTACCTCACCCCCAGCCGCTTACACAAAATATACCAAAACGTACCACCGACTTGCTGGAGGTGCACTTAAAAAGAGGTTAACATGAGTCACATTTGGCTAGACTGCCCACTGATACAACCACTATGGAAAGATGTCAGAGAAGTACTTCACTCTCTTCAGATTCCTGACACCGAAGTCACCCCTCACCTAACACTGCTTTTGTAATTTCCCCCCTCCTGGTCCAAGGCACATAGAAAGGTGGCGGCAATAGTCATCTTGGCAATTAGAAACCTAACAGCCACAAATTGGAAAACAACATATTGGCCCTCAAAAAATGAGTTGTATGTTAAAATCAATCAATACTACTAGTACATAAAAATGTCAGCTACCACACACCGGGTAGCACAATCCTTACAAATAGCCTGGTCTTGCTGGCCCGCACTCTAGCAAGCCGCACAATAAGACCAGAGACGCAAGGCAGAAAAGTATCAATACCTCTTGGATGTGGTGCGACAAGTGTTTAGAGTTCACAAGCCAGGGTACACGGAAGATACTTCCAATATTATATACCTCTATCCCCCGGCGGTATTACCGAAGGGGCAATCTAGTAAGAATACGAGAGACAAGGGATATACTGGAAGCAGTTGTTGAGCGAAGACTGACAGGGGGCTTGTCAGACTCAACCCATCCCATTAGGATCACCCACTCTAGGAATGCGGCTCATTAGGACTAAACTTTAACACATATATGATATGCGGTTCTACCCCTAGTTTTACCCCCAATTCCATCTGTGAGGTGACGACCCAGCGCATCCCAATGGGGGTGCTGGTGTCTACATCCTGGTATACAGGTACATGAGCATACAGAGCAGAGAACACTAATTCTACCAGAGATATCCTAGAGCAAATCTACACTGGCATGAGTGATGTCACTAGAGGCAGAACACTGGCAGATGA